CCCCCTCTTACCTTTCCGATCTCATATCCTTACGTTCCCGTACGTCGTCACGAACACTTCGTTCATCTTCCACATTACTGTTAACACCTGGACCCCGCACTAACACCCGGTATGGTGACCGCGCCTTTTCAGTTATTGCCCCCGCTCTCTGGAACAAACTGCCCGCCTTTATTCACTGCGCCCCCTCTGTATCTCAATTCAAATCTCTACTCAAAACCTATCTTTTCAAATTGTAAATTGCAGTTGTGCGTCGGTCAATGGAGGTGCGCACCATATTTGTCTTTATTTAGTTGATTGCCACTGTTTTTCTTACCTTATCTATGTTACTTTTGTATTTTTGCTTTTTCTTCTAATTTAATTCTACGGGTTATAGTCTTCTCTTAATCAGAACACTGTGCGCTTAGAAACATCAGTATTAAGCGCCTAATAAATGTTATGTATTATTATTATTATTATTATTAGACTCGATTTCAACCGCGACAAGGATCCGATATTGTAGGATCGCATATGCTTCCAATATGTTAATTTGAACCAAATTCATGACCCCATACCAAAAACTTTGTATTACTTTTAAGATTTCCACTGCTTTCCGTGACATATTTGGTTGAGATAAAGAAAACGGCAGCTGATCGACTATATATATACAATCAGTCGCCGAGTAATCTCCAAACGCTCACCGGACACCACCAACTAGTAAAGAGTTTAACTGTAGACACTCTGAGCTTCTATTGTCGATTCTACCGCTGGTTTAAACATTTTTTTAGTTTGACACTTTTCCATTGAAAGAAAATTATGAATATTAATCACTTTTCTGTTTTCTGTCCATTTTATATGATGTAATACTGTATTCATAGTAAAAAATGTTTTTTTTATGCTGCAGCAGCCTAGTAGAATACAAAGATTGAGTTTCATAGATTTTATAGATTAAAAAAGAATAATTATGACTTAAACATGGTTATATTTTTAAAAATAAAAATGCACATTATCAATATTTTGAGTCATCAAAGTCATTATCATTATATTAACCAGTTTATGAGTCATCTGTCACTCCTTCTTCTTTCCAAGGCAGCCACTTCAAAACAGATTATAACAGATGACTTTTGTTCTTATTTGTCATTATGGTGAAAAGGTACTTTGTTTTCGATTCCTTTTCCTTTTACTATTGCCCTCTCTCTGTTATCTGCACGCAGCTCCGCTATCTTTATTTTTAGCTTCCATCATTAAACTTGTATTATTTTTTTCATAGTGATTGTTAACAGTTTTCCCGATCAAATCGTAATAATCGGCTTCAATTGAACATACTTTTTAATAACAGTTAAAACATTACAGAGTGAATAATTATGAAATAAAATCACACATCATCTAAACAAATACATAAAGCAAGAAGATTGTTATGCTTGTTTGCACTAAGGATACCCCCCTCCAATTTAAAGCTTGCCGACAGTCGAAAGAACGTCAGCCATTGATCTTCGACTAGTTAATTGTTATCGCCGATTAAGTGCCGAACAACTGCCCCAAACAACCGCCAAAATTTCCAGGAGCTGTCTTAAATTAGTCCGTAAATCTTTGATAATCGGACAATTGTCGTACAACATTCCGCAACCGATCGGCAACCGATCGCCCACTATAAATTATTTCAAATTGGTCGTCGATGGTCGCAGTTTTTTTTTGGTTGTCATAAGTTGGCAAACAGTCGTACTCCGATTGTGAAGGTTCTTTGAAATAACCGCGTGTTTGCACAAGTCAGGTCAGTCCAGGGATGAAAGTCCATGTCCTCTGCTTTTACGACTCCAGAAAATAAATAACATACGCTGTGAAAATGTCGGATACGAGGATTGTTCAACATGAGGGTAAACATGTATCTGGGGAACTCTTAGGCCATCACACACCCAAGTTACGCGACATTTCTAATAATTTGTATTTAAATGTGGGCGAAACATTACCAAAATCGGACTGTTTACCAAACATTGTTTTACAGTGTAAACAAAACTTGTTTTGTATGACTTAATTAAAGATGAAATAGGAATGATTATTGCAATCATTTATGTCCATGCAGGATCAAGCTTGCAGGGGCGGCGATTTCTGTTCATGACTGGGGGGGGGGGCGAAATGCGAGCGACGAGGGAGCAGTGGTGTAATGACCAAAACCGTTTTTTTTGGGGGGGGGGCAGAAAAAAAAACAATCCGCATCACCACCACTCTTACATGTTACGCAGGCCCTGGGGACGTTTTCAAAGTGGGTGGGGGGGGGGGGCTAAAGTATTTACGATCAGGTAGATCAAAGCAAAGCAAAGTGGAGCGTAAATTGGCTTGGGGTCCAGGGGCAAAGTCCCGGCGGGTGTCAAGGAACGGAGCCTCATGAAGCTCAGGGGTTTTAGGCGTTTAATTACGGTCAGATGAGCATATTTTGATATCTTATTTGTGACCCTGGAATGCAGGTCACTCCGCCCCCAGAAGCTCAGGGGTTTTAGGCATTAAATTACGATCAGATGAGCATCAAGGGGCCGCCTTAGGGCCCTTGGTGGGGTCCAAGGGCAGAGCCCCCGAAAGCTCAGGGAAAAGTCATGCCATTTCAACAAAATTTGTAAATCACTGGTATCGAATTAAAAATAAACCACGTTTCATTTTTCAAAGGCCCACCCCCATCAGTACGCAAGTGCGAGGGAGCATAGTGAATGAGAGGGATGAAGGTGACGGAAGTGACTACCCCTCACAGGTTTTTAAAGTTTTGTTGTATTAAAAAATTACATTCCTTAGCAAAACTATAGTATAAAATCAAGCAATATACTTTTTTCACACTTCAATTTTCTCTGTATTTACTTGTATATATTTTGAAGGATATTATGCGAGGGAGCGAAGCTACCGAGTGAAAAGATTTTTGCATTTTTATTGTCTAAACGCTGCACTCTTGGGTCCTCCAGAGCCTAAAAGTTTGTTGCAGTCTTTAGTCAGTATTTGCTATACATTTTTGTGTGTGCACTTTTTCAAATTTTGAGGGGGGGGGGGACGTGTCCCCCCGTCCCCTGGGATCGTCGCCCCTGCAAGCTTGGATACACTATGGCACATGCCACGGATCAAGTCAGCGACCTTCACTGATGAAGGCATGCAGTGGTTCATTGATGAACTAAGTTTGACGCGCAGAATGCAGTATATATCAAGAAGAAAAAAATAAGTATTCATGTTTTTAATGTTTTGTCTATACAAGTTCTATAGTCTATAGATCAGAGAAGTAGTAGGCGTACACGAATGTTGGTGCTCTAATTTGTTCATTCAACTATCCGAGAAGAGATTTAGAAGAAATGAGGGAGTTAAGAGGACACTTCAATTTAAACCAAGTTCAATATTAAAGGCAGTGTAAACGATTCATGAAATAAATTACGAGGAAAGAATAAACTGAATCCTGTTGGCTTCAATTAAAGATCTATCCACTTGTATTATTTCCTATATCAAGTCAGGAAGATATCAGCCGGATGTATGCATGGTAAATCATTATTATAATCCAGGATCGCGGAGGAGTCCCTCCAGCTCCCCCCCCCCCACACACACCCCCACTCCAGGTTACGCCTTTGGTCCTTTCGTCGTTTAACTTTAAAAGGTCAGGGAAGAAGAGTTAATAGACTACCACCAGCAGATCAAAATTACTTATAGTTATGCGAGATTGTATACATTTTTTAGGATGAAAAATAAACACACCACATAGCTTGTGGCCCAAAAGTAGGAACTCTCTTTCTGTTTGATATAGCACATGGGGCTAGTTGCTGTATAGTTGGTGTTGTTGGTGGTATCATCATCATCATCATCATCATCGTGATCATCATCGTGGATTTAAGTCTCCGTTCATCTACGGGAGTCCTGCGCCCATTCTGCTATTATCGGTGTATTGAGCTCGTTCTTATATCAGTTTATAGAGACATCTCCCAGATTTTATAATTGGGCTCAAAAATTTGGTCCGAAAACGGGATCTGGGTCATTTCATCGTCTTTTGGAGGTTTAATTTACCCCCCCCCCCCGAAAAACCTCTCCTTCATTAAATTTACTGTAAGTGCTAGAGGGGAGAAGTGGCGCATGCCTCTCATAACCAGAGCCATCTATATTATACAGAGCTTGGCCAACTTGGTTTCACCTGTCAGAACATGGCGTGTATTCTTTTGTTTTGTGCTTGCCCAAACAAATCAGTAGTCGCCATATTGTGTCCAACTCGAACCGGTGTGGTCAAACTCTGTGTATAGATGGCTCTGCTCATAACCTCAGTTTGCTGCCGCCATTGAATATAATAAAGTAATAGTATGATTAAACTAGGGGAGGTGGGGGGGGGGGGCTGATATTATTGTATAGGTCTTTCACCTGCATATCTATTCAAAGAAGTCACAACTATAGGTCAGATAAAACGAACCTGACCGCCACCGGACAATCAATAGACCAATCAAACAATAGACAAGGCCGAGAACCTCGATCGTGAAAGATATACTTTTTTTATTGCTTGCAGCGAGGAGCCATTGCGGTCCTTCAACTCGGTGATTGCTGTAGCAACCATCTCGGCAGCCGGTGGGTGGGCGGCCGGCTTCTTAGTAGTCACCTTCTTAGAGCTATTATTCTCAGCCATCTTGATATACGGTGCGTCAGGAGGTTAACAATAGAGACTTTTAGATTTATAATAATAATAGCCTAATAAGTCCACTCCAAATTTTATTAAACCGAAACGGAAATTCTTTTTGCCCAATTGATCGTGAGCCCGGCAGCCACTGAGCAGCGCCAGATCGACGTTGCTCTATCCCATATTGTTGAACGCCAAACCAGGTAGCAACAACTCCCATCTTTTAACGTCTTTTGGTATAACGCGGCCGGGGTTCGAACCCACGACCTCCCGGTTGTGAGGCGGACGCTCCACTGACTGAGCCAACACTCCTGCGTAGCCTGATACTTGTGACGTCCATTCAAGGCAGTGAATTAAAAGGACGTCGACCGTAGCAATCCACATTGTCTTCGTGCAAATCTAAAAGTCCCTATTGATGAAGAACTCAACAAGTTTTTTGGGTGGGGTGACGATCGCTCAAGGTGGTGTTCTGCCCAACGACTGAGAAGAAAGAGAAGAAGAAGACTTGATAGTACATGGATTATACCCCTTCATCCAAAAATGGCCGAAACTATGCTGGAAGATTCTACCGACTCCTGGAAATACGTCATCCTTCTGAGTAAATTTGTGCTTCTCTTCGTTGATGGCGGGATCGCCAAGTCTTTTGGAGTCCTCATCCCCGGTGTCGTCGTCCGGTACGACAGTGACTTTGGGACCGTTGCCTTAGTTTTGAGTCTACCCAGCACGATGATGTACTTTACCGGTAAGTCCACCGACATTTTGATAGACCATTTTCGTAATGCAATTAAATTTAATTCATGAATCTTTGGTGCCATGTTACAAATTCTTTTATTCACCTGTTACGAATAATTGTATTACAATACAAATTACATACTGAATTATATGTTGTTAGGTAGGACAAGCCATAGGCCCGAATTCACAGACCAAGGTTTGAGCTCAAACCTCCTTTTGTTTTGCCAAACCTCCTTTTGTTCTTTACAAACCAGGTTTTTAAAAAACGCGTAAAACGCGTCATATGACGTACGAAAACCAAGGTTTGTCGACAAACCTCCTTTGTGAATTCGGGCCATAGTGTTTGTCTTACCTAGCGACAATCGATGCATGCAATTTGCATTCTGACTATTGAAATGCAATTATTCATAAGGTGAATGAAATAATTTGTAACATGGCACAAAGACGTAGGCGTTAAATTTGGTTACATTACATTACATTTTATAACAGGTTATGAAATAATTCAATGCACACCTCTATGTTAAATGCCTTGTTTCGAATCACTGCTAAAAATATTTGATTTCAATAGTCAGAATGCAAATTGCCGCGCATAGACTTTACGTGGTGTCAGGTAGGACAAACCGTAAAGTTTGTCTGACCGAGCAATAACTACTGCATGCAATTTGCATTCTGACTATTGCGATACGATAAGATATCCAAGTAATTAACTTATCGCTAGGTAAACGCGTGTCAATTTGAATACATTTTGAAAATCGACTATAGCCATGTTCAACGGGGGCTTCTTAATTAGTCGGTGTAAGTTAATCCCTGCAGCAGTAAATATCCCATTAGTATTTGGCTTACACCATTAGTTGTCCATACCCTCTAAAACCTCTTTCGCACCGGATCTGCGTGGAGTTGCGTAGTGTGGCGTACCGACTACGCCGAAATTAGGCTGCGAATTCATGATAAACAAATTGTTCGGCGTTGTCCCTGTGTAGGTTATGCGTAGCAAGGCTGGCGTACGATGGCGTATGGTTACGTACCCTGTGCATAGGCACCGCGTCCTACGACGTAGGCAATTGGCGTACCTACGCGTACTATTGCGTATAACATGCGAAGGGTTGCGTACGTTTACGTAGACCTGGCGTAAAGGTTTGCTTACGGTTGCGTCGGTTGCTTAATGTGTGCGCAAGCTTTTATTGGCGTAGGATAGCGTACTATTGCGTAGGTTTGGCGTACTGTAGCGTAGTGTTGCGTAGCCTTGAGTTTAAAATGCGTATTTTTCTGCGTATAGTGTCTACGCCAAAAATACGCCGTCCATCTCGCGTATCCCTTTGCGTCCCTCAGTGTATAGTAACGTAGGCCAGCGTAGGGCAGCGTACGCACGGCGTAGTCGGTACGCAACACTACGCAACTCTGCGCATGGCCCCTGCTCCTGGATAAATCCAGGAATAAATCGGTCGGCGTAATGCCTCGGTCACACCTTTGCGTACCTGGCTTGCGTATTATTGCGTATTGCCCGAACGCAACAGGCAGTCATACCCAATAAAGCGCAATAAAACGTGCTCACTACGTACTCAATACATAAAATAGCGCGCATAGTCCTGCGTTGGTCGCTCGCTAGTTTTACCCCAAGGACAACAACCCCTAGGATAGTTGTCCGGGGGTAGTTGTCCTGGAGGTAGTTATCTGGGGGTAGTTGTCCGAGGGTGTAGTTGACTTAGGGGTTAGTTCACTGGGGGTGGTTATCCGGGGGTGGATGTCCAGGGGATAGGTTTCTTAGAACCCTTTTACTCATTATGATTGTTAATCTAAAGGTGATATACATTGTCATGTAAGGTCATGCAGTCGATGAGAAAGATTTTTTCTTGATACAATATTTTGATGTGCAAACTCAAGTCTTAAACGAGGTTTAGCTTGTTATGTTATTAAAGATAAACTTTATAGTACTGGTCATGCGATTGCATTGTGAAAGAAATGGTGTTGAAAGGACCAGAAACAGTTGATCATGTAGCATGTAAGTATTGGTGTGCACTGCAAGGTTCTGGAGTCATCAAAATCATAATAAATTTGACCGAGTCTTGGTAAACTAACACAGAAAGCTATATATGGGACAACACACATGGGCCCGAATTCACAAAGCAAGGTTTGAGCTCAGACCAAGGTTTGAGGTCAAACCTCCTTTTGTTCCGCCAAACCTCCTTTTGTTATTTACAAACCAGGTTTGTGAATTCGGGCCATGGTGTCGGGGCTGGTAGTACTACCTTGATTTCCTTGTTTTTATTTGTAATCTTGAACATTCAGTGTCAGTTTCGTTTGATTCTGTGAGAATTAATTTTCTTTTTTTACCAGTACTAAAGTTTATCTTTAATTACTAAAAATGACGGCTTACGGTTCCTTTTTTGGGTCTATATTTTGTTTTGATGTGATTCGTTTAATATGCTTTATTTTTGTTTGTTTGTTTTTTGTTTCTCCTGTTTTCCGTTTGCGAAAAAAACACTTGACACTTTTCATAATAGCTTTAAAAACACGACTCGCATCAAACTTACTCAGTCTGCACATTGTTTCTAGCTTGAGCATGTAGAATGTATTTTGAGTAGATAATACTTAATAAAAAACTAAAATTAATCTGAAATAGATAATCACGAAACTGTCTTGTCGCTATTCCATTCTTATAAATTTGTAGTTCCCATAGCCACACTCTTGATGAAAGTGATGACGCCGCGGACAATGGGGATGATTGGCGGACTGTTGAGTGCAGTGCCCATTATCTGTGCTCCTTTGGCTCAATCAATCTACATCCTTGGGATGATGTTGGCTGTAACAGGTAGAGTAAATTGAGTTTCACAGGTAGACTAAATTGACTCGAACACAGTGCGAAATTTAATAACAAAACGGTCTCAATATTGTCGTGAACTCTGTATCGTTCTGAAACAGGGTCGTCTAATATATAATCAGAAAACTATTCCTTTGTTCAGGTACCTTACCAATTGATAAAAAGAAGAGCCACCTTTGAAAAGATCATAAATTGGGATAGGTGAATACCGGCATTTAAAATCCATTACATCTTGAAGAGCATTTTCTAAGCTTTTAAATGATAAGTGTTTTTTTAGTTTTCCATGCCTGACACAGCTTTCACATCTTCCCAGATAATGGTATTCATATACAACTGCGTTGCACAGTTTTTGTCTTCTCGAACGATCTCTAAAATAGAAATCCTCATTTAGTTTTCTATTCATTCTTCCAAGTTTTTGCATGGCTCTCGTATTTACCTATAGTGTCCATATACACAAACATAAACTACTATGCCTAATATTGTTAATTTTCTTGAACAACTTGTCTATTATAAATCTTAATTTCCGTTTATCCTTCTTAGGTTTCGGCATGGCTCTTACATTTTTCCCGATAATGGTGTCCATCAACGACTACTTCGCTAAGTCGTTCATCTTCTCAAACACCCTGACCCTCTTCGGAACGACGTGCGGGGCTTTTCTGGTCCCTGTCATTATAGAGAGGTCTTTGGAAGCCTATGGATACAACGGTGGATTTCTCATCCTGGGCGGCATTGCTCTTCACGCCGTGGTTTGCGGTGCTGTCATCAGACCACCTAGGGATAGGAACATAGACAACGTGAGACCCTCCGCCGAAGGAGAAGGAGATTCATTGATAGTAGTCCAACCAGCTGAGTCAACTGAGATTGATGTACTAGCTGTAGGTGAGACTTCAACAGCCTTGACAGAATTGAACGAGCAAGACTCGAAGTCCAAGAATGATACAATGGCGAGGTCGTCAAGTAGCACAAGTTGGCGGTGCTCATGTGATTCATTTACGTCAACACTGACATCATTCATTTTCTTCCAGGAACCATATTACACCCTCATCGCTCCGGCCATAATCTTACAATGTTTTGTGATGGCCGCTTGGATGCTGTTTCTCGTACCTCACGCAGAAGAAGCGGGAATTGAACGATCCAATGCAGTCTTTCTCTTCACTATAGCCGGCATCAGCGGTATATTTGGCCGCATCTTGTACCTAGTCCTTCTACACTTTAAATGTGACAATACCATTATCTTCTGTTTCACTTGCACAATCAGTGCAATCTCGTGTTTTATTGACTCTGTCAGTTCCAGCTACATTTTCCTAGCAGCAATGGCACTCATTCAAGGTACCACCTTCTTCATTTTAGACTGTCTTCCACACGCGATGATGAAGCTATCTGTTCGAAATGAAGCGAACATTCCTAGAGCCATTTCACCAAATCTATTACTAGTCGGGATAGGTGTAATAACAGGAGATGCTTTATCGGGTAAGTTTAAGTGTTTGATACGATAACTTTTACGGTTAGAGTGTTTAATAACCTATTTTGATGTTTCTGTATTCAATTTATACTAATTCTAGAATCTAGCTTTAAAAATGACGACTCAGAACGCTCAGAAAAAAAGCTCAGTTTCGGAGCTGTATTGCTCAACTGTTTATGACGTCACTGCAGGTGCCTCTCCGGTGAAAAGGAGGGTGATTTAGGCATAAAATGTCTTTATAAAAGGCAAACTATGATATTATTTGACGAAGAAAAAAACATTTAGGGCCTATCCGAAAAATAATATGCACTTGATAATCCCAGTACTATTCATTTATGAATTATAATGAGATTGTAAGATCCTTAATTGTAGGACAAATCGGACATACCCGCAGTGACGTTAAATGCGTCATCAAGGCCACGTGACCGTATAACCTCTTTTCGAAGGGCGTGAAGCAAGCGTGAAAACTGTGAAAAATGGATGGTTATTATCATCTTTTGGTCAAAACAGAGATTTTCTGAAAAATCAGAGGCTAGAATAATAATAAGTAGAGGTGTATTTATGTTTTAAAAGGCTATGTTAGTTGGGTTAGAGTGGCCCTTTAATGATAAATACAGTTACTACGACAAAAGGTACCCATCTTTCGGAAACAAATTTGTTTGCATCAGTATAAAATAGAGTTTGTGGGCATGTCGGAGAATTTACTTATATATCTCAGCTCACATGATAATGGATTTTGAACACTTAACAATGTTTCTGAACATGATACAGGTATATTTTTTGACTGACGTGTAATTGTAAAATATCTAACTTTCTTCCAGGTTATATCTATGACGTCACATCGTCGTTTGGCACGGTATTTGTAGTGTACGGTGCACTTCTTGTCCTCATCACGGTCAATCTGGTGATCTTTAAGCTGAATTTTCGACGCTGGTCTCGTGAGTAAAAATAACTGCCAAACAATATGATGACGTTCCATTTCGAAATATCAGACATCACTCAGGAATGGAATCATCAGTGGTGGTATTCAGTGTGAACGCATTGCGCAGTTAATTAATGAATCAATCCTGCCAGGTAGCCATTTACTACACCTGGGTCTAAAAAGGCATCTATAAATAAAATACCTTTTATAAAGACGATTGCACCAAGCAGTCCTGGCACCAAGCAAGGACTCAAACCCGCACTCTTTCAGCTGAAACTAACTGAACATATCTCAGTACAACAATGCTTCTACATGTATATGCTACATGTATATATACCTTCATTAGACACTCTGATAAATTGAAATTTCTAGTTAAACTATGGTCATTATATTTTAGAATGACGAACACGACGAACGTACATGTAGTTCATTTCTTAAATGATTGTAAATTTTTAGTTGATTTTCTTCTTGGACTAAATAAAAGAAAAATCCATGTTATATTCCCATGTATGTGGAGTTGGTACCTGATTTTATGTTACGTGAACGACAATCTAAAATTCATTTTCGTTTTTTTTATAAGAAGAATAAAGCCTTATTTTTTGTCACTTTCATTGTTTAGGATCGCACGATGAGTTTGGATCCAAAAGTCGTTTGTTTCTCTCACTTTTAAACAAAAGTATGTAGTGTACACCATTTAATGATTATGATGTGCAAATGAAGGGAACCGCGTTTTTTGCTATCCTCTTTTCAATCATAGTTATACACTATATTAAAATGGATTCGCTATGTCACATAAAAAAGCAATTATATTATGAAAATTATGATTGACAATCACTGTGGAACGGTATTGTATTGATAAATAGATTTTTTTTAGATGAAAAGCAAGAAAACCTTTGGACCTTAGCTAGTGTTCATTGTATTAAGTTGTCAATTTGATGATCGTGGCTTATGATTTAATCGACGAAGGTAAACTTAATGTCAGGGTTATAAGTCAAAACCTTTTAACGAGCAGAGTAGAAGCAATATACAAGTTCGTAGTTAGCACATCGTTCAGATGACCCCAAATATCCACAGACTTTTAAACATAGATAAATCCCACTTTGTGCCTTATAGAATAATCACAGCTAAAGTAATGGAGGTGATTCTTCGTTTGCCCTCTTGAACGGATTACTTTCACCTGTGTTCAATAAGGGAGTTTACAGATACAATCTGCGCATGGGCAGATAAAGGTCATTTGTACCAAAAAGGTAAAAAAAAACCACAGAGATGAATACTGGATATGCGCTCATGAAAGTTATGTAACATTATTCATTTATGCACCAACGGTACATTCTATGATACGCAGGTGGAAGTATTCTTTTCAAGACGGAAAACAAAAGGTATTCATGAAGCACATCTAGGACTTTGGCAGTTATTATTCTAATGCTCAAAGTGGAACTTCTCCATGTGTAAAAGATCTATGGATATTTGGGGTCATTTGTACCATGTGCTATCATGTAAACTCCCTTATATAATGTATCACTGGCGCATGCATGAATAATGATTGCATAACTTTCGTGAGCATGTATCCAGTATTAGTCTCAGTGGATTTTACAATTTTGTACCTAGTGACCTTTATCTGCGCATGCGCAGTTGTATCTACGAACTGGCGCCTCGAATTTCTTTGGTTTACATATTTTGTCAATTACTTTCTAATTGGTAACAATTGTCTAAGGGACTATAATGTTTCTACTTGATGACATTGTACGTGAAAGCAATTGCTCTTGAGCTCACTAACAAATTTCATCTCTTTGTACACATTTTTGAAATTATATTTGTTGTCAATGACATATAATTTGTGAACATGCAAGATATAGATAGAGGGGGAGCGCAACGACAGACAGTCAGAGGGGCCAACTGAACTTGGAGAGAAAGGAGAAAAAAGGAGAAAAGGAGAAGAAGAGGGGACGGCAAAGTGAAAGTAAAATTCTGCAAAACCCTTTAACCCCCCCCCCCTCCCCCTCTAATTTGGTATCCTTATTTTCAGTGCTTCATCAACCATGTTAGTCCGGAACCACGCACCCTCAATGGCTGGACCCACCGACATATTTGTTTCCCAGCAATAAGCCCGATCCTTTTCAGAATGTACTGTTATTAGGAATAATCGAATCTAGATGTGTCTTCTGCGGCGCCCCTGGGAAAAATAAAAACATCTTCTTTAAATAAATCCTTTCATTTTTGTCCTATTCACCCCCATTTTTTTAGTATATGGAATAGGCTTACTTTGAACCATCGCCGGGTTATCGCGTCCGGTCGGGTGGTCGGGTTACACGGCCTTTCGTGAAACAAACGCGGAAGATAATGCCACCTTTCTTAGATTTGGCTTAGGGTTTTCACAACGTGTCGGGTGAATTGGACCAGACCATTTGTAGATGAGAGGGTTAATTTCAAACACTCTACCCCTGATTTTTCGTGAATAAAAGGGCGATTTTTCACAAAAGGTTGGGTAACGCGACCACCCCGGACCCTATACTCGATGACTCGATAATTCAAAGTAGGCCTACGTGAAGAGGCACTTGTTTAACAGTCCTAGATTGTTGCAGGCGCGTACGCAGGGGGGGGGGGGGGTATTTTTATGTGTATAAGCCCCCCTAACCCCCCCCCTTTGGATTTTTTTTTTTTTTTTAAATAATAATAATAAAAAAAATAAAAAATTATCCCCCCCGCCAACGGAGCAAAATGTCAAATTTTCAAATTTCGAGCCTAAAAAAAAAAAAAAGTGTCCTCTTACCCCCCCCCCCCCCGCTTATTCAGCGGCTGGCTGAGTCGATGCGAAATTTTCAGCCCGATTTAAAAAATTTAAAACCCCTCCCCCCCCCCCCCTTGAAAAAATCCTGCGTACGCGCCTGGATTGTTGATAGTACATATTATTATATTATTTTTAGGTACAACTCAAGTAAGTGATTTAGCACTATAAAACATTGAACCATTGCAATGAATTATTTTGAAAAGGGTTTTATTCTTACTAGTACGTTTATCGTGTGGTTGTAAGCAGAGAATCTGGCTAACTAAATGTACCTATTAACCATGAATTCATTTTCTGTCATATGGTAACACAGTTGAGATTTTTTTTTTTTTGGGGGGGGGGGGGGGGGTTGGGGTGCCTTGAATTTTTGGAAACAGTGTTGATACTGTTTAATTTTCGCCTCGATTGCAAATTTTATCACTTTGCTCTTTTGAAGCTTTATTTAGTGTTGTTAATGTGTGTGTGTGTGTGTTTGTTTTCTTACAAATTATTAGTGTGATGGTTGTGACCTATGATTGCATCGACGAAGCAAAAATTATTGTCGGTGTTATCAATCTTAGCGTTAAGGATAGTCATTATGAAGATGTTGATGATGAAGATGTCCAAGATATCAAATTATTATGATGACCGTGGTGTGTGTACAAGCGGATAAAAGGGCGGGGAAACCTTGCGTCGGGGGGGGGGGGGGGCTCCTTTGCTCCCAACATTTTCACTCCCTTGAATTTTGAAAATAATATTCCACAGAACACAGGCACATCAAAATCAGTGCCTCATACTCAATTGATTTACTTTCGAGTCACCACATTTAGTTATGGGCTTCCAACTATTTCAAATATTGTGGTTGCCCAAACATGGCCAACAAAAAAATATAGTTTGGTTCATTTTTTAGAAAACTGATTTAATACATTCTATGTAGTTGAGTAAACTTTAATGCTATGTATTATTAGTAACACTATATTTATTATGAACAAAACTGACATTGTTTATTACGTGAAATGTGAAATATTGAAAATAAACCGAACTGAACTATTAAATCCTTCGCTTTGTGTTTATACATTGTATCAGTAGGTCTGTATACGTAATATCAACGAGATAAAGCAAAAGGAGAGGTAGAGATGATGAAGGAGATAGAGAGAGGGAGAGGGGGATACAGAGAGGAAGAAAGAGGAGGAGGGTGAGGGAGGACGAGGAGAAGAAAAAGGAGGGGGTGGAAAGATGTGAATACTAATACGAATACTAATACGAGGGGAAAGATAAAAGGTGAGGAGAAAAGAGCCGAGAGTGAGAAAGAGAAAGAGTGAGAAGCAGATGGTAGACTGAATGGTATTCACATAAAACTATACATAAAATATTACTGCTAATCAATATAATGAAAACAAATATTACACAAAAGCTTGAATGTACAACATTTTACTGTAAGCTATGCAGTTATCTTTACTTAAGGTTTGTCAGACTTCGTATTAAAAAAAAAAAAATTGCAGCCAGAGGCTGAATCATAAATCACATTGGTTAAAAAGTAATTGAATTATATCTAAAAAAGAAAAATGGTAAATTACCTAGATAATTTCAAAAGCTTGAAAAGGTAATATACCGTAAGTATACAAAATCAGCACATACCAACAGGAGAAAGAGAGGGGACGAATGCAAGAAAAGATATGAAAACAAAGGAGGAAGAAGGGGATGGAATAAATAGATGAAAAGAAAAGAAACATACCCTCACCGTTAACCCTGCATCCACCATTCCTCACACGACAAATCACCGGGGGTGCCAGGAACACGTGCCGCCCCTCCAACCTGTCATCCCACCCCCATGTCCATTCCTCACACGACAAATTACCGGTGGTGCCAGGAACACGTGCCGCCCCGTCCCCAACCCTTCTGTCATCCCAACCCCATCTGCCCCTGATGTTCAAGCCCATGTACAACATAGCGAGATTTACAGAACATTCTGTCATGTCATTAAATACTATGATTCGGGCAGGGGTGGCGCCAGGTTATTTTATTAGGGGGGCGAACGGGCGCGCCACGCAGGGGGATGTCTAAAGATTTTTCGAAATTTATGCATAAATGGCTCGCTTTGGTGCATAATTTTTGCCAAATTAAAAAGAAAACAGTCTTGAATTCAACTAACAGGAACAAGAATGCATGGGAGGGGGGGAAGGGGGGGGGGGGTCTGACGGGGGATGTTCCCCCCTCAGAAGTTGAAGATTTTTTTTTTTTTAAACTGATGCATACATGGCTCGATTTGGTGCATAATTTTTACCAAATTAAAAAGAAACAACCTTCACCAAATTTATCTCACACAAGTCCAATATTTTACAAACTAAAAACCCTAACAATATAAGTTTACTGATCATGTTTAAGTATTTAAATAATATGCTCCCTCTTTCATTTAAAAACTTTTACAATATGAATAAAGCTATTCACTCTTACCCTACCCGTAATTCCTCAAATGTTCATCTAGTAAACCGAAATTACTTATCGCCCATAGATCCATAAGACACCATGGTCCTGACCCATGGAACTCTCTCCCAGAATCTATTAAATCCTGTTGCTCCCTTTATTCATTTAAAGCAAAAGTGAAAACGATGTTATTATCAGAATACTAAAGGTAGCATTTCTGTGTCA